GACAAAAGACTTCGCGCGAATTTTGAGAATTACCAAAATCATCCAAATTTCCTTCGATTCATTTATTTTCTTCCCTTAAAAATCTCGATTTTCAGTACTGAAAGAAATACGACGGAGAATAAAGATCGTCACGTAGATATTTTCAGCGTCGAAACTCCGAAATTATGAGCGCGAGATCGCGCGACAGCGGCGCTCGGTTGACGTTGACGAAGGGCGACGCCGCGCCGCGGCCGTATCGCCGTCGCCGATAAAGCGGCGCGCCGTGCATCAATATGGCGGCGAATCTCGAGGAGGAGCAGAGCTTACGCGAGTGCGAGGAATACGTGCAGAGACACAATATCCAACAGGTCCTGAAAGACTGTATAGTGCAACTGTGCGTGGGCCGGCCCGAGAACCCGATCTCCTTCCTGCGGGAATACTTCCAGAAGCTGGAAAGGGTACGTAAGTCGTGCGCGGCTGCGATTAACCTGACCGCGGAGAAGGAGAGGAAACGAGAAGGATATATGTCGCGAGTCCCTGACTCTCCTCGCTGCGGAAAATAGCGTCACGAGGTTTTTCAACGAAGGGCTAAAGTTTCCCCGAGATAGGTGACAAACGTCGTATACAAAGGACACGTCGAAATCCTCGTTTCTCGGTGCAACGATAACGCGATACGCGTGATTGAGGTCATTTGATTGTGCTATGTATCGCTCAACTTGATGAAAATTACAAAAATGAGCAAGTTGACTAGAATGTTTATAATTTTAGATGTTTTTCATTTGTTGATTCAAGTTGACACAAGTCGTTCTGTCTTTGTTATTCATAGAATGTCAAGATAGATAGACTGATGCTCTTGATGACTTGTGTCATTAAATCAAAAAATGCATCCTTTATTGATCAATATATAGGGATTGATTGTATATCTTGAGATGAGATAATTATAAAAATGAATGAATTTACTGGAATATGTATAATTTTATTGATCAACATTTTATGAATTTACTCACTCTTATAATTTTTATCTTGTTTTAAGAATTGACCTCCTAATGAATTTTCTCTTTTTTATAATTTCCACTAAGTTGTGTGATACACAATCAAACTCCGAGACCAGAGATGCTCTCCATCTCCTGTCCTTTTCTATTAATTTAGTTTAATATTAGTCTTGGTTCAACTGACTCCTCATCTTTTTCTAGTTCTAAAAATTTAGCCTGGTTCTGTCAATGTAAGATTAACTTTAATCTCAGTTTAATTTACTGTTTATCTTTTTCTAATTCTTAGAATTATAATTAGAAAAAGATAAACAGTATAATTATGTCCATTTCTACTAATGTAGTTTAATTTTAATTTTTCAATTAATTCCTCATTTTTTGTAATTATAAGAATTAGAAAAAGATGAAGAGTAAGGAAATTGAATTGAGATTAATCTACATTGATAGAAACAGACAAAAAAAGATAAATAGTTTGAACTGAGATTGATCTTAAATTGATAGAATTAAGCAATAAAAAAAGATGAAATTGAATCAATCAGTAATTTATATTGATAGAAACAGACATCTTAGTGTTTCTCTTCTTATCTTCCCGAACTGCGAAAATGTTTACTCAAATCTTTCTTAAAATTTTAAGAGGTTTATTGATAATATGAGCTTCTTATTGCATTATGCAATATACTGCATCTTTTAAAAAAAATCTTTTTAGTTTTCCTGTGGTGTGCGAGAAGCTGCCTTTGTATAACAGATTCTTGCCTTTCCAGTTTCTTCGCGTTCATTATCCAACAATTGCAGCAAAAGGAATAAATGAATCGTGTAGTGATTTTACGGAGATTGTTCTATGTTTGGAAAAAGCGTTATCAGCACTGTGCTTCATTTGGTAAATATTGCAATCTGCAAGACCGTTTTTCTCCATGGAAATCGTGTTATCTTGACGTCATAGATAACCGTCGTGATTTGTTGAACAATATCTGGGGCTTTTTGTCAGACATAGTAGCGCACGAATAAGCATTTTGTACAAATCTTTCGCAAAATTGATACATCGGAGTTGTAATGACCAACAGACAACATCGTAGGATAGCGACAAGTGCTGCTATCTGTAGCCATCTTTACTACAGTCGTTACAGCAGATATCTGAAATACTGTGGGTGATAAGCGTTTTGTATCATAAAATTTATTTTTTTTTATTTCTACACTAGACTTCATTAAGACATGATTGAACTAGAAATTGAGATTGAGATTGGATTAGAATTTAAGCAATCAAAGCGAAGTTTACTAAACTTGAGATTGGTTTTCTTTCTTTTTATTGATTAAATTGCAATTCAATTTCAATTTCAATCTCTAGTTTGATCATGGCTTTAGAACTTCCTTTCTTGCTTTTGCCAAATATTATACATATATCCATTTCAATTTAAGTTCTAAAAGTGTATTAGTTCGCTATAGAAAACAGACGTACTTACAGAAGAATATATCATTCTCAGAAAAGTGACTACTCAATTTACTTTTTCTTTTAAATAACGATTATCTTCAACAAAGAATGTTTTCTTGATAATAATTTTAAAATATAATTATTACAAATTTTAGGAAAACTTATTGTGTACTCAAAGCAGAAATTTATTTTTTTTTTTAAATATAAGTTAGTCGAAGAAATAATTTTATCTAATAAACAAATAAAATTTATTTTAATTTAATAATTTTCATTGAAGTCTGAAACTTACTAGTATTCCGAATATATTTTGAATAAATTTGATTTCTACGATAAAGTTATGATAGATTTGTGGATATATGAGCTTTTAAAATATTGGAAAGTAAAGTACAAAGTAATTATTATTTATATGTATTTATATGTTATATTATGTATAGTATGTATTTTTCTGTGTGTATAATGGATTCTTTGCCTTGCATCCTTCTTATTTTCTGACCCATTTCTATTATGTAGATTAATTTTAATTTCATTGTAATTTACTTTATTTTTTTCTATTTCTTAGAATTGAGGAAAATAAAAAGTATGTCAAACCGAGATTAATGTTAGTTAACATAGCAAAAATGAACTTAAATGAACTCATTTCTACGAATGATTAACTCTCTTTAATTTCAGTTTATTTAGGTTTATTTTTATGTTGGATTAAACTTCCTTTTCATTTTTGCCAAACATATTTTATCGGACATATCTATTCCACTTTAAGTTCAAAGACTATATTTTTTTTTTCCAGTTAAAGAAAACTTTATTTTATCTTTATCTGATTCTTAGAATCAGAAAAAGTAAGTTAAATTAAGATTAATCATCAGAATTATTTCTATAAAAAAAAATCAGATTTATTTCTATGCACAATTATTACTTCAAAAGCTACATCCTTTTAATCAAATTTAATAATATCTATTATATAATTATAAAACTAATCAATTATAGTTATTCCTTGTGAAGAATGGAATGATTGTGATTGGCCAGTTTCATAACTACGTATGTTATTACTCGAAAAAGGGTGCAGTGTAGTAGTCAATAACTGTGTGTGTCTATAAACTGTGTGTGTATAGATTTAACCATCAGCTTCGAAAATTAATTCAGTCGGTTCAATTTACTTTTATCTTTTACTAATTCAGAAGAGGATAAGAAATAAGTTAAACTGAGATGAAAATTAATTTACACTGTATAGAAATAAACATGTTTTTCAGTGAAGTTTCTGAGACAAGATAAGATAGCTTTAAATTAAAAATGAAATGAGGTAATATAGAAAATTAATCTCGCGTGAGAAAGATAAAATATATGCAAGGTGCATAAGGTCTCTGCAGAGAAGTAAAATGAATAAGGAAGTTTTTCAAGAAAGATTCCGTTTAATTAACGTCATTATTCTTCGTCAGATATTCCTAGCTCATCCGTTATCAAATAAAATGGATTTACGAAGGGCAGATGTCTTATGATTGAAGTACGTCCATCGGAGTAGCAGTTCGGACTATATCCTTACTTTGGCGTGATCCTTAATGCAGTTTCTGTAGGCCCCGAGACCTTTTGCTGCCTGTTACCTTTCCCATTTAACGTTAGCGACGCTGGAGCAATTACGTTAAGCAACCAAGTTCGTGCGGCCGCCACCCACGCGATTGGAGAACGCGACGCATGTCGCCTAAGAAGATCGAAGGCTTCGCTACGATCAGGCGACCAAAAGATCGACGACTGCCTAAAATAAATGGAAGCGCGACTGCTATCATGCGGAAACATCCCTGTCGAGGAATGGCAACGGATTCCGAATATACCAAGAATCTAAGATTTTTGTGAATGCTATAGAATGGCTATCAGATTTACCAGCAGATCCATGGATATCTTGTATTCTGTCATTCTGCGACGTAAATGTTTACCAAGTCGCACAAAGTGCGTAGGCCGAAGGCCGTTTCCGAGGCAGAAAGCAAAATATGGCGAGGTATTTCGCTGCTACGGGAAGAATCGATATGAGTAAACAGGGTTTCGTCAAGGTGACGTTAATTCCCTTTAGTGATGATGATCTCGTTGTTTACTGAAAAACAAGTAGTTAGTTTTATGACTATAATTGCAAAATAATTATGATTCGGAGCTCCATTAAAAAGCTCCATTTTTATAGTTATCATTGCTATAATTTTAGTAATAATTATTATAGTTCTATACAGAAAACATATAATTGCTCCAAAAATAACTGTATCCTTTTCGAAGTCAATTATATATTTTTTATACATAGAACTGTAAATATAACAATTATTACTATAATATAACTATAATATAACAATAATAACTATAAATGGTGCTTTTTTTATCACAATTATTTTATCATACAATTATAGTCATACACCAAACTTTTCTCTCGGTGTGTGTTTCTCAGCCATTTAAATAAAACATTCCCTTTAAACGATTAAAAAGTGACAGATTCTATTTGATTTCTGACAATCTGCAACATCAAATTATATTGAATACTGTCTAAAAATGGTGAGCAAAATCCATAGCTTAATGCGGACGCAATTGATACCAATCTGCCGCAATATGCTTGGCACTGCTAGCATATAATGTATTAACATTTTGCCTAACCGTTTGTTCCGTCGAACAATCGCCTGGGAATGATTGTTTCCGTTCCCATAATGTCGAAGAGATCACGCGAGGATGTCTTTCGATCGAATGTCTCCATGTCGCACGCGTCAGTCAGCGTGACGGTGCCATCGAGGAAGGCGAAGACGCGCGCGGGACGGCGGATCATCGCCTCGCGTGTTGGCCTTCTGTGTTTATACGATATATGTACACGGCAAAAAGCGCTCGCGAAAGAGAAAGAGTGAAAAATGTATATGCGAGAGAAGGGAAAAAGTGGAATTTATTCCTCTGGAATAGAAAAATCCCTCAGGAATGGTGAAAAATACGATGCCTGCGGGATGGAATAATAATCGCGAGACCCAGAAAGAGTTATCGGAGGAAAAAGAGGACTGAAAGATGCGCAAACATAGGAGTATTGAAGCGAAAGTTATGACACGAGATATAAGGAGAACGAGGAGTAAACAAACGCGTATAATCAACCCGTGGAATAAAGTGTCCTCGCAATTATAATCGCGAGGGAGTCTGCGGGAGCAATTAAATGGGATTGGATGAAGACTTCTGCAAAAAAAATCGGTCCCTTTTTTTTTCCACTCATGAAAGCTGTTTCAAAGCGGAAAAGGTGAACGTCAGTTACTTTCAGAGAATTTCTCATTAATTGAAGCAAATGGCGCACCCTTCTGTAAGAATTATTTACCTTAAATAACCGCACGAATTTTTTGCTCAGGTTTATGTGGTCGTGAAGTACCCTCTGTCGTGTCCCGGCCATAGGAAGGACGTAGTAAGAGAAAGCGGAAAGAAAAAGAAGGAGAACTGCACCGCGCGAGGATGAAAAGAGGGCTTGCAATTGTGTATGCGTACACATAAATGTTGTATGCGTGTGTGTGCGCGCAAAAGGAGAGAAGGAGAGCGCGATATAGGGGCAGCTGATCTAAACATAGAGCACGCTCGAAATATAACGAGGCACAACCTTATAGCCAAGATAGAGAGACGGAAACAGAGAGAGAGAGAGAGCATGTTAAAAGCATCGGCAGTTCACAAAAATGTGAGATGCCACAACCGAGGGAATCCAGCCGCCGATAGCTGTCCTCTTCCTGCGCGCCGCGGCGCCAATTTTCCTCCGACGTCATCGCCAGGAACGGCGGTCGCGTCGTGGCTTGAATTTATGAGAATAAAATATTCAACTGCCTCCGTTTGACAATAACGTCGGCAACATTGTACAGCAAACTCGGGGGACAAGAGATGAAAATTCACGTAGGTAGCAACGAAAGGAAAGCCAGTAGAGAGACGAGGGCGATATTAATATAACATTCGATAATACGAAATAAATACAACGTATAATAAAATAACAGAAGAATGGAAAAAGAAGAGGAAATATTGTAATAATAATAATTATAGATAAATAACTATTGTTATTTATTGAACGCTTTAGGATGGTATATCTTATAAGCGCTGTGAACAAATACAATTTAACAGCAGAATGTGTAATAATTTAGACGCAAGGTAATACAAAGATTATTGAAGATAATTAAAAAGAATAGTTATTAAAGTATAATTACTAAAGGATAATTAAAAAGAAAAAAGTAAGAATAGCAGAGATGATTTAAATAATTAAAAAGTAAGAATAAAAGGTAATTGTTATAAATAAAATCAACGGACTCTTTAATTATTTCAACTCATTTACAAAATTAATGTCTAATCTCCAGACTCTTTCCACTGGCAGCTCCAGCTATAGCATTGATAAAAACTTTATACGTAGTGGGACGCGAAGTAGTAGAAAGTATAACGGTGTCACTGAAACATATTTCCCACACAAGTCCAAGTACTACGAGTCTCAGGTTTACGAGCCGAGGTCTTGAAAAATGCCGTCATCATTGCCGCCGCCGCCGTCGCCTCCACCACCACCACCATCGCGAATCGATCCACTGGAGCCGCTTACGTTCGCGTTAACGCGAGCGGAAGACCTTACTTACCGACTACCACGAGACAGCATCTCGGCGGCATATCCGTCCCGTCCAGGAACCGTCGGGCAGGCGCCGAGTACGGCGGCGAGCGGTCAAACGAGCATCAGCAGCAACAGCAGTACGCATACCGACGCTGTCGCGCCGACGGACGCACAGACGCGCGCGCGTGCTAGATCTTCTCCGACCTCTAATTGGATTCCGTCCGAGGCCTTATAAAATCGCGAAGCGTGCGAGAGAAGAAGAAGAGGAAGAGAAGGCAGACGACAACGGAGACACGAGATCGCGTGTGCGACGACGGGACGACGACGGCGGCGGCGGTGACGACGACGGAGACGATCTCCTTTCCCGTGCGTTCGCGAGAACTCGCGAGATCGCCGACCTACGACACGCTGCCGCGAAAAGCGGTTGGTTCATAAGTGTTAACGCGTCCGCGGAAAGCAGAAGAACACGGGGGCAGACGGAGAGAAGGAGAGTGAAGGAAAAGGAGGAGGCTCGAGAGAAATGATGAATAAGGTACGAGAAAAAGAGGAACGAGTGCGCCGCTCGTAATCGTCCAAGTTACGCGCGCGTATAATTGATCTTGAGCGATAGATCAATATTAATCATCGACGGAGTTTTGCGTTTTAAAATTCTGCGTTCCTTTTCGTTTTTCGTCAGAAGTAGTGATCTTACGATTTCTTTGCAAATTAAAAGTGAAATGTCCAAGTGGAATGGAAAGAAAAGAATCACGTGAAGGAGCTTTCTCGATTGAAAGATTTGTAACTTCCAAGGAGTCGATCGTATAATTGTCCGTGAACTTCTTTCCTCTTTCTTATCTTTCTAATTCTGGATCTCTAATAATGTGTTATTATTTCACAGGAGTTATATGACTTCAACGAATTCATTGGATTTATCTTTCTAGGAAAAATTTATATGACCGTGCAAATATTATTAAAGGAAGAGAGCTTCTGATTTTGGATTTCTGATTATTGTTAAAGAAAAAAGTCTCTAATTTTGGATTTCTAATGATGTATTTTGTAAGAGTATGACTTCAGCAAACTCACTGGATTTCTAGGAAAAAATGATTGGCCGCAATTATTAAAGGAAGAAGGCTCGACTTTAAAAGTCACAAGTGTAAACAGTAAATATATCAGAGAAGGCTATCCTTTTTATTAGAAAAATTACGACAGATACTTTTTAGTCTTGCTTGATACCGTCTCTTATATGGCACGAAAGATTGTCGTAAATGGCAACTATAGTCTTACTATGTCACTCGCGTTAGTACGAGAAGTCTTCTTCAACGAAAAGTAATTTTCTAAGAGTAGTATGGCATTTATTCAGTCTTTTTACGTCATCTTCCAACCGAACGAAAAAAAAAAAACAGGATACTTTTAAAAGGAATCTTAAAATTCCTTAAGATCAATGTGAAAAATGTTCGATATTATCGATCAGTTAAACACTTAACTTAAGAATTCTTACGGTCATTATTTCAGAATAATTAATATAAATTTTTATAATTTTTTATATAACTTATATTCCTTATTGAATTTTCAAAAATATTCTTACATATTTATTCAACACATTTTTTTTTCTAGATATATTTTTTAGTCATCCTTGAAATATTTCCCCACTCATACTCTGCGAAAAAGATATAAGCTTAAAAAACACTTGCGTCGAGATGACGAGAGATCCTCTTACATCGGGAGTGTGCCTAAGAATGTAGACGCGTGTACGTGTGTGGGAATGTATGCTTGCAGCATTTACTCGCCGTAGCCGAGTATATATACATACATATATGTTATCATTAACGAGATTGTATAAGAGAGTGTACGTCTATTCGTTGATTCCGTTGATGGCTTTGAGTGGAATCTAATACGGCATGTTATATATAGTTATGCACATAGTTTATCCAGTTATTCATGCTCGCATGCGTTTCTCACTCCGATTATCTGGCTACATAATTCTTCCGTTTCGAAGTTCATTTTAGGTGATCGATAATTCGGCTGGGAGAAAAAACGGGAGAAAAGTTTTATACCTAATTTTACGCTTCGGATATAATAAAACGCACAAAGCGGAATTGCGGAATCGCGGATTGTATTCATGGAATTAGAACGTGTTCTATTTTTGCGGGCCGAAAATGCGCGTCCGCCAGGTACACGTAGTAAAACTGACAGATTTAATAACTATCGTCCTAGCGATTCGCCTAGTATTTCAGTTATGTATGTTGTTTGTAATAGCAATGACATAATGTGTCTTTATTATATTAGTGCAGCCTGCGATAATAAGCCGGTCTCGCAAACAATAGTTTAATTACACCTATGTGCATTTATATGCAATTATAATTTGAATTGTTTGTGACATATATTATTGTTTCCTCTTAATTGATCATTTATATATTGGCAATTTGCGTTGAATCGTAGATAGGATCCCATGCCAATTTATAGATTGTCCATAAATTGCGTTTAAAATGTAAACAGATATAATCGAATTCGCGACGATTCCGAAGGATATGATTTCGTCTGGTATCTATTGAATAATTCCGATAAATGCAGTTCTGCTCTTCTATTTTTAATGCATATCAGAGGCGCATGTCGGCCGCCTAGACGCGTCTTTGCGGAGGATTTATCGGATGGTCAAGTTTTATAAGTTCATTGGGAGCTGCGTTACATCGAGCGATCATTAGTGAATCGCGATCAAATCCCCTCTCACTATAGATAATTGCCATTCATAAACCTGATGATGTCATTGAACAACTTATTCTAAAATTGAAACTTAAATGTCTCTCCCATTGAAAACGTCAATGTCCAAATAATAAGTTTTAATGAAGACCTTCTTGCAGAAGTACTAATTGCAAGGTTTCACTCCGAATCTCCAGTGTTATCCTGCGATTTTTCTCAGATTTTTACCAGCATCACTTCTGTGTTTCTCTCGAATGATTAGATAACAGATACAGTTTCTCACCGTATCTTAATTTTCACCAGCGAGATCAAAGTATATGATTTATATGATTTACGGAGCGATATTATTTTTCTTTCTTGAATTTATTTATATGTGACTTGTGAGACGTACAAATATCGCGTTCTGGATGTATTCGTCGGTTTGTAAGACCCCGAAATAGATGTGATCGCGATGGCTCCTTGTATGCGGGTAACGTTAGCGTGCCGACATATTATCATGGCAATTAAAGAGTGAATTGCGAATTGCGCTGATTTGAATATACTCGTTAGCACGATGCACCACGACGAGGTTCGCTACGAAGAGAGACGGCGCGTTCGTGCGTGAAAACGCCAACTGACCTATGGCATTATTCGCTTACCTCTCTCACCCCGGTGATGTGCATCGTGCATCGTATACATAAGCGACGGTAACATAAGGTTTTATCTAAAGACCTACATAATTTATAATTTCATGGTAATTATATGTGTGATAGACGCGATGAGGCGAAAAGCCTGGCCACGAGGGTCAGGCGCGTGGTTAATGAATTATTAATTTGCGTCCCTCTTTTTTTTTTAGCAATTTTATGTTCCTCCCGAATGTGCAAGCAACATGATAACACATCGCTGTGATCCTCGTCGATGGGGATAGACAGGGATAATTGTTTTAATTCTTTGTTGAAAGCATACGTTAGTGCACACTTTCAATCGAAAATTAGTTGCAAAAAATTAATTAAAAAGAAATATTTGAAATTCAATGTGGAAAATTTTTAAAGGTAACGAACGTGTTAATTTATTGTGCACTCTAAGATATCAAGATATGCTTCTACATTATTTATCAGGCAAATCGGTAACCGATTCTCGTAAGAATACGCTATATTATTTTTTTCCTTCTGTATTAATTGACTGTATTAATTATGTCCGAGGAGATTTCCTTTTCGTTGAATTAATCCGTTGAGATTGACAAATCGATTCGATATAGGAAAAGAAATGAGAATAAATAAATTATATGGTATACAAAATATAGTAATTATATTGTTTGCTTTCAGCAGAAAAAGCAGCTAACTATAAGATTCTTTATACGATTAATTTATACATTTATATTGAGTGAGGAACTCAATATAAAGGTAAAACTAATCATATTAAAAACTTGTTAAAACTGCTTTTTCTACTAAACGCAATCATCGACATTTTAGTTAAAGATCTCTCGTCATGCGTGCTATCATCTCTAATACTTTATCTCGTTTATTTACAGGAACAGGCTCACGATGCCAAACAACAGATCGCCACGAGTCCCGAGGATACGGAAGACATGCCTGCGGGACAACAGGGTCCGCAGGTACCACGACGGCGAGGCGGAATCTCAGCGGAGCCGGTCTCCGAAGAGGATGCCACCAGTTACGTCAAGAAGGTCGTACCTAAGGATTACAAAACCATGGCTGCCCTGAGCAAGGCCATCGCCAAGAACGTGTTGTTTGCACATCTAGACGAGAACGAGCGCTCCGACATATTCGATGCGATGTTCCCCGTGACCTTTCTGCCCGGCGAGGCGATCATTCGTCAAGGTGTATATTGCTCAAATATATCGTTTTCCGTCTCGTGCTTCCGTCTCGTTGGTTTGTCGCATTAATTCATGGAATAAATGAATGTCATAAAATTTTTCCAAGGCGACGAAGGTGACAATTTCTACGTGATCGATCAAGGAGAAGTCGAAATATTCGTCAATGGCGAGCTGGCGACGACGATCGGCGAGGGTGGCAGCTTTGGCGAGCTCGCATTAATTTATGGAACTCCACGCGCCGCCACAGTTAGAGCAAAGACCGATGTGAAGCTCTGGGGTATCGACAGGGACTCCTATCGTAGAATTCTCATGGGCTCTACTATAAGGAAAAGGAAAATGTACGAGGAGTTCTTATCCAGAGTTTCAATACTCGGTGAGTTCGCTCGAAATTCATTTCCTAGAGAGGATTACTATCCTATTTTACGTAGTAAATCAATCGGAATTTCTTCTTCAGAATTTCGAGGATAATAAAATCTTCTTACTCTGTTACAGACTTAAAATAGTAAAAGTAATCCTTATAAGATTTTTAAGGATGTTAGCTGAAAATAAAATATTATAGGAAGATAAAATGGAGAGGGCCATCAATGATGTTTACGATGCACTTTGCAGAATCCTTGGATAAATGGGAAAGACTTACAGTGGCAGACGCTCTGGAGCCGGTGGCGTTCGACGACGGTGAAACGATAGTCCGACAGGGTGAACCGGGTGAAGATTTTTATATAATCGTCGAGGGTACGGCGGGAGTTCTTCAACAACGCTCGGAAGGAGACGAACCTGCAGAAGTCGGTCGTTTAGGACCATCGGATTACTTCGGTAATATATAAAATCCAGAACAGTTAATAACGAATTTGCGTGAAAAGTTGATTAAAAAATAATAAAGAGGACATACAGTTGTTATAATAGCGAGATAATGTCTAATATTAGAAAAACAAGAATTTACGATTTTCTCTGATATTTAAAGTTTCTATTCATTCATCACTATCTTAGATTGACGTCAGAAACGAAAAAATAAAAAGAAATATTTTCGATAAAACAATATTTACAATTAATGAAATAGATTTATAAAATATACAAAAGACTATTCTTGTTTCTGGGAGAAATTAAATCATATTTATTTAATAATTTGTCATAGCAATCAACATAGCTCATTTCATTTCGTACTATGCATATTGGATAATTTATTTTCCTTCTTCAGTTATATGATTATTTATTAATTAATGAAACAAAAGGAAAATTTTCAATATATTTTACAAATCGATTCTATCGAATGTGTTGTAATAAAATACTTTAAAATATTTTACAAGAATTTTTATTATATATTTTCTTGCTTCTGACGTTATTCACAATCTACAATAGTGGTAAGTGAACAGGAGCTTTAATCTAATTCTGCCATTCGATTAACCACTAAACTTATTAATTTTTATGTGAAATTATGTATACAAAATTGTGCTGTAATCAATTTTATGCAAAAGAGAATTGAAATAACGATGTGAATTTTTTTTTGTTACAGGAGAAATAGCGCTACTGCTAGACAGGCCCCGAGCGGCAACCGTAGTAGCTAGGGGTCCGTTGAAGTGTGTGAAACTGGATCGGGCACGGTTCGAGCGGGTCTTAGGTCCGTGCGCCGATATTCTGAAACGCAACATCACCCAATATAACAGCTTCGTGTCCCTTTCCGTGTAAACGGACTCGGTCTCTCCGCATCCTCCCTCCTCTTCCTAACTCCAATCTCGTCATCGCAGGCACCGCTGCCGATCATCCCCGACTTCATTTTCCACCGAAGGCTACGTTATTTTGTCGTACCATAGTTAAATCTTTTTTTATTTGATTAATATTTATATATAAGTGAATTAATGTATTACGTCAGCTATCAATCAGATGTGTACACGCCATACACACAAAAAAAAACACAAACGGAATCGTTAGAGAGACGCTGTTAATATATTTACCGTAAGGCTATTTACGCACTGTGTAGCTCGCGACTCGATGCCGACGCGCATGCGAATTCATATTGACGTTGATCTCTTCCGCGCGATCTGTTCCTACTCGTATAAGATTCTCGTGCACAAGAAATTATTAATCTGTTAACGTCTCTTTCAAGAAGCTAAAAATCTAATTTTAAAAACAAAATTTATAAAAGAATCTGAAAAAGATCACAGATGATATCGAATATTAACAATATGAATTAGAGAACAGATTCTAATTCATAAAATCAGGTTTCTTCTTGCTTGAAGACGCTAATGAGTTAATCCGGTTAATGATACGTTGCGTACATCTCGCGTGCATTGTAGATCTTTGATCGAAACCGATACGATGTATCCCGACGTGGTTTATAATCGCATTTTGAAGTCTACGTCGAAAATGCAGGCGCTCATTAAGCTCATATTGCACGAATTCGTGATCAAATCACGTTAAATTATTCGAAAGCCATTTTAAGACTTCTATTACATCAGAAATGAAAAATTGTATTGCCTCCCGCTTTTGTTCGATAGAATAAATTGGTGAAGTACTTTTTATGCATTCACGATAAATAATTCTGTTTACATTTATTTTTTATTTTGAATGTAAATCTCACAACATCCGATTAAACTTAGCAGATTTTATTTTATGAATCGAAATCTTCAATAAATTTTACAAATCTATTCTATCGAATAGAAGTAGTGACATGTAAAAAGCTGGATTCTTTCATTGCAAATATATTGTAAGTATTGTGTAAAGCAAATGTAATAAGTTTTCATTTCTGATGTAATCCGATATAATTACAATAACGAGCCAGGAGCCGTAAAATATTATTCATCAACGAGAGGATCGGCGTTAAAAACGATATTTTCTCGTTTACTGTTATATATTTTAAATGTTCTATGTTGTCTCATGGATTGTTAAATTATTTAACATTTAAATTATTTTTATCTACCGATGGCGAATCGGTATAATATAGATATATACATAATTAGCAACAACATAAATGTCAGTCGCAATTTGCAATTGCGGACATCAAGAAACCCGTCGACCGTGGTATTTATTATTAAGCGAGGCAAAACGAGTCGCAATCTATATCTCCTCTAAAGTGCGCTAGGTTTATAGTACGACAAGCGAGACAAAAAATGAGGTACAACGTCAGAAAATTAAATAATTTATTATGCACAACATCGTATTCGGATCAAGTATGATACAATGAGTCATTTCCCCTTTCCGAATCCGTGTAATGCGGTTGATGCACATTCCATGCGCGCGCGCGAGCGAGCATGTGGGCGTGTGCGTGCGCGCACGAATGCGAAGGAAAACCAGAAGGGTCTCGACCACCTAGAGAGAATCCAACAAGAATAGGACGACTCTAACATCGAAAGGAGCATCGTCGCACCGCGCACGGCGCATGAACACTTATTAAAATTAATTATAAAATCACACACGATGAAAAGAACCGATGATGATACGCCATTCGTTTCGCACGAGGTATGTCCTCTCCTTGATCTTCGTTCTTCTGTCTTCATCCCCAAACCCAGACATCTTCAACAAACGATTCCATCCATCGATATTCAGGAAACAATGCTGCCATTTCTTCTTCCTTCTTCCCTCTGTGATTTCTACCGATTTTCTTCGAGCTTGTTCGGGAATGGAGCGTCTCTCGAGCACGAACGGCATGAACGTCATCACAATGTCCTTTCAAACGCGACTCGTGTCTCCGAATTCGTGAAACAAAATCCTTATCCGCGTTCTCTTTGAAGTACACTCTTCTTCAAAAGGAGAGAGCTAGTTTGCGTTGCGGCTCGGTTGGGTTGTTTTGTGTGTAGTTAATACTTATTAAAAGAACATTTGGAAAATCGATCAAGGCAATGAAGCGTGTGTGCGCATCACGCTACAAATGATTGAAAAGGAGAGAGCAGTCGTCTTATCGACGAATCGTCCCCGAGTCGATAACGAACGAAAGATGGGTTTTTTCCTATTGCGAAGACCGCAGATTGTACCGTTTGCGTTGTGAGTATGATCCTTGACGTTATACCGAGTTTTTTTTCTCATTTAATCTTTTTAATGAGGTAGCGCCAAATATGAACGGAAACGATCATCCGTCCCGATTTTTGTACAATTTCCAGGAGTCCCCGGTGAGAGTCCGCATCTATGTCCTCTTGAGATTATGTACAATTGCGCGCGGGGAAACTGAACGAGGGAGTATGTATGTACAAATTCACAGTCGAAGTCCCAAACTTTCGATTTTTGCGCCCGACGGTGATGAAATTGCGCCACCGCCGTGGGACGATGATTTGAAGATCGTTTGCGAGAGATAAAGCCAACACACACGGGGCTTCCGAGGGTGAGAGAAATTTACGGAAACGATGTGTACCCCAGCGAAATGAAACATCTATCTAAATACTTGTATATATGCATATGAGTCACACAAGCGCACATATGCCGGAAACATATGCATATACACGTAATACTACACACGTGAGATTTATGCATGGTACGCGTGTGTATGTATGTGTATGTATACATGAATGTGTGTGTGTGTGGCCCATCTTTTTCACGTGTTAAAATATCTTCCGCCACAAGGAGTAAAAAGGTAGGACAGTAGAGTGGCGTTGCCTTCTACCAACCACCTAGACTACTACTGCTTGCCTTGCAGTCGATTTGTTGTCGAGCGAGATCAGCATAAACCAAGCCGAACTCACTGACAAATTCATAAAACTTGTCCAAAGAATCAAAGGCCAATTCTGCTACGACGAAATGAACCGCCAAATTTTGCCGGTAGCTAAACAGCAGAAGAAATGCAAATGTTAGATAATTGCCGCATATATGGTGACATGATAGTGAATACATAAAACAGAAAAAAAAACAATTAAATATGCAATTAACTTTCAGCTACGATGTCCTGTAACAGAAATCTGCAATTATAGTTCATGTGGTCCATGTTTCTTCATAGATATCATTTGTTAAAACATAGCGTTGATACAAATAAGCTGTTCTCCAAATCTTCTGTTTAGAAAACTTCTGTTTAGAAAATCAGTTAAGAGATTGTATACTTTCTATTGTACTATTTTAATGAAATGATATAATTACATTACGATTCTATTTATCATTATTAAACAAAATTGAATTTAAAAAATTTGAGAGCAAAATTAAAGTCATTAATTGAAATACAAATTATTTTTATCAACATATAAAGTATACAATCCTATTTAATGAAAAATACAAAAATAATTACGCATCTAGATAATAATAACAGTATCTAGAAATAAGGTTTAATACGTACGACTTTATCATGAATTTCAATGCCTTCTTTCGCTCTCTAGCGACAAACCAATCCATCAAGAAGGCAGACATACACGGAGCCGTCCTATACAGTTTGAAAAAAGCATGGAAGTTACCCAACCACCAAGCCGATCGTATTTTCAACGCGTGTTTTATGCACTCGTTATTTTTATCCTCTGGCGAAAGTGCTGCTAAAATTGTCGTTAAGTCTGAAATCGAAAACATTACAGAATATTTTTATGTGATTCTTGATGTCAGGAAATATTTGCGAATCTTCTATTAACTCGTTACCAACCTTGAGTATTTTTTGTGAAAATGTAATAGAGAATCCTATACGCAATGAATTCGCATCGGTTCTCGCCACTGAGATCCTGATAAAGCATTTTCAGCTGTGTCTGACACTGATTAAATTCCTCGTGATCACCGCGTTCTAAAGCTACACGAGCATGAGTTTCATATACATGAACTGTAAACGCGTCCCTGATACCTTGCACGGTAAGATCTTGCCGGATGGATTTTAATTGGTCGCAAGCATATCTGTAGTCCTGATCGGCCAGCCAACGTTTCTTAACATGGGCCAAAGAATTTTGAAGTACACTTACCGGTCGAACTGCAGAAGGGGCAGGAGCCTGCAATATTATATAATTTCGTTAAAAAAAAATACGTGATTGATTATATCACGACTGTGGTATAATTGATTTTATTTATTCTCATCTACAGTTAATAAATGTTTTATTATGAATTAGGGAAGTGTTCCAACGCTTGCAATGTTCTTGGAATCATTTTATACTTGTCGTTTATTAATTATTAAACAAGAACAAATATTACGCGCGAGTATTGTAAGCGCAAAATGGAACACTCCCCTAATTCATAATAAAACATTTATTAACTGTAGATGAGAATAAATAATTTTGAATATTCATGTACCGTTGTGAGACGCAAGTAGGGCTTCTCTAGATCCTTGCATGTGCCGACGATGTGGAGTCCGGTAAAATCAAAGTCCGTGTTCGAGTCATCTCTAATAACGACGCTGCTAACAACCGTCCTGGAAACGCCGCCGTTGAATCTGGCAGCGCGCTGCTGCAGCTTCTCCTTGGTTCCCAGCTCGTCCGTGTTGCCTGTAGCTAAACCAAATTCGGAATAGAAATGCGATTTAGCCTGCTTATTCTTCTTGGACTTCTTGTTATGATTCGCCTTGTTGCGCGCGGATTTTTTCGTTTTAGGAGCCTTGTACTCGTGTTCTCGATCGCTAATGTTCGACGACGAGGATGTGCTGCGTCTGTTGTACCTGCGCGGCGGGCTACGTGTGCGCGAACGCGTTGATCTCGACCTCGAACGTGACCGCGATCGCGATCGCGAACGGGATCGCGATCTTGATTTGGATCTTGATCTTGACCTCGACCTCGACCTCGACCTCGTCCTCGACCGCCTGCTGTGTGTCACAGAGAGACGCGCGCCAAGCCGAGCCCCGAGTGAGCTGGAAAGGCCAGGCTTGCGCAGGCCTCCCTGTGCATTGACCAGTGGGCTCGCCAAAGGATTCGCCAGCTTTAACGCCGGCTTCGAAGGTTTAATCGTCATGGTCATACGTTCGCTGTGGATGCTGGGCAGAGGCTCCTTATCCCAGTCCTTCACCCAAAGCGAGCCGTCATTCGCGGCGCGTGTGATCTTGCCCTTCAGTATGATTTCGACCTGATCTTTATCGACTGCCGTCTTACATTTCTCGTAGCATCGATTTACATAATTCTTCAGACTGTCGGGCCAATCCCCGACCGGACTTTGAGCGATGGAGGGAGTAGTGCCAGTACCGGGGACCACGTTGCTGGAAACCGTGGTGACCGGCACGACAGAACTAGGAGGCTCCTCACTTGGTGGCGGAGGGGCTGCCACTTCGCATTGCGTGGGAGGTAACGGTGGTAATTCCGCAGGTTTTGCATTCGGTCCGTTAGGCATGAAGGGACCAATCGGAGCATTTCCCTGAAAGCTATTGTTGAATTGAGCTGCTAAATTTTTGTTCCGCTTACGTTTTCTCTTCGCGGCGCCGCTATTGCCGGACGGCACGTATCCAAGACCCGTTTTCTTGTTTGGTAAGTTGAAACGGATAGTCTGACCATTGTACTCTGTAAAGAATTAGTACTTTTAGAGCTATATATTCAAATTATATATTATAGAGATGAGTGAAGTGTACCTGACAATAACAGTAAATATTGACGAGTTACATTACATGACGATAGAAGCAAACTTTCAAAACAAAAGAACAATGGAACAATATTCTAGAACTCTCATAAAATACAATGTAAATAAACGAAACATGAGACCTGGCCTTTGCGTGCGAGAGAGAGAGAGAGATCACAACAAGTCTCTTTTCTCTCTCTAACAGACAAAGAATCTTTATTAGAGAGCGAAGAGAAATCTGAGCTATATTCTCTCTTTGTCTCGCACGCGGAGCCAATCATTGTCTGATATATAGTATGCCAGGTCTATATATTATGTCTCTATTCTATAATTCATTATTTTATATGTTGATTATTATATATCGAGATTTTCAAAATATTTTCTTTTTCGAAAACCCATACAACTCCGATTATTTTTACTATTAAAATTGATATATTATTTATAGATATATAAAACTGAAATAACATACTTTTATTAAAATTACTAAAAAATGTGATCAATTTTCCTTTTGCTGCAATTTCTTCACCCGTCTCTATTTATTTAAAACATTTAAAAAAATATAACGAAACTTACGTGAAGTATTATTATGCATTCCATTCCAATTACCATAAGGGAACGAATTGTACATTAATCCTGAATAAGAAGTCATCTGCTGTTGTTGCATGTGATTGTTATGTTGTTGAGTTGATGGAGTTGTTGGTGGTGGACCGGGTGGCAATGGTGGAAGATCAGATTCATCATCTAGAGGCATTGGTGTACCAGGTATAGGAGGTTGTTGATGTAACTGTTGCTTTGTCTGATTGTTTCCCTGTTGCTGCTGCTGCTGCTGCTGTTGTGGTTGCTGCTGTTGCTGCTGCTGCTGCTGCGTTTGCTGCTGCTGTTGTTGATGTTGCTGCATCTGTTGAGGATTAAAAGTCTGGCCATATCCTGGCATCATGTGATAGTAGTTAAACATCTGTCCTTGATGTGGCACACCTTGATATCCTGGACCATACATTTGTCTGCAAAAAGAAATTGTGAAAGTTATCATTTGTAAACGCAATTCCATTTTATGACAATTCCTACAACAGACAAAAAATTTGATATCTTGGTATAAATTTTTATCTAATTTAGATTATTATTTGATATCAAATTTCCAATTATTACAAGTTACTTAAATAACATCAATAAAAATGATTACTATAGAAATATATAACATCATAATAAGTAATAACTTAGCAATATATTATATTTATACATTTATATAGATCCGTGAGGATCTAAGAACAAAAACCAATTCAAATCATTACAATTAAAGGATGCATTCATATAGTACTACAATAGCTCATCGAGCACTCAGAGTAGTTGTTGTGGGTGCATTGAACAATTAAATAGAGATCGAAGGTTGTACTGAATGTACTCAAAGAATTTTATAATGGGCGCATCCATCAATAGCGCAACCGATAAGAGTCTAAGTAAAAGTCGAATGGATGTATTCAATACTACAATCGATCACCTTCGATCTCTATTTAATTGCACCCATTAGGTGCATCCAAAGCACGACCGCTCACTGAGTTTTTGCATCTGTTTAGTCTATATTTTTAGATCTAATGCAAATCAGATGCAAGAGCTCACTGAACGCTCAATGAGTTCAATGGTTGCATTCAGTGGATTCAACAGTTGAGTCCGTCGAACGCTACCGCATTGATTCTTATCTTTAGATCTAACCAATCACATTTGATTGATATTTAGGCTCTTAGTGAATGATTGCGTTTCTAGATATACTCAATGCAAAATTGCTTTTGTTGAGCATAGCCAATAATATAACAATATATTAGTGATATTAAAATCAAAATAAACTCTTGACAAACTATGTTTGAAGAAGGTTGTCACAAACATCATTCGCGCATGTATAAGACAATTCATCTCAAATTACGCGTTTTCGCAGAGTTTACCTTGTTAATATCATATTCATATTATATTCTTAAAAGGATAGATAATCCTTTAACAAATCTAACTTTATTAAAAGTTTCATCTACAGGAAAGAATCACAGACAGATTATGTTTTGTTTCAAAGAAAGTTCGAAATTGAAAGTTGATTGTGTATCTTGAGATGATAAAAATTATAATACAAAAGTAAATGAATTTACTAATTTCATTAATCAATAGTAAAGCACAATTTTATAATTTTTATTTCGTTTCAAAATACACAATTAAAACAATTAATCTGATGCTGGAAGTCAATTATGTATGAAAATTGCAAATGAAAATTACAAAAAGTAGTTAAATTCACTAGAATATTTTTAATTTGATTGATCAGCATCTAATAAATTTGCTCATTTTTATAATTTTCACTTTGTTTCGAGATATACGATTGCCTTATTCCAAGTTGGAGTAAGAAAGAGAGAGTGTGATAGAGTATGAGTGAGAGAGAAAAAGAAAGTGTAAAAGAAAGTGAGAGAACTATACATATTTCATTCAAACTCATTGAATTATTGTGTACTAAACCATAATTGTCTTCGAAAAAACAAAGCTTTTATCTCTCTAAATCTTTTAGGAATAAAATTTGACTAAAGAATGGAAACTGAGTCAGTCTAAAGACTGGCTCAAAAGTGATAATTTTTATTCTAAAAGTTAGAAATTGTACAATGCAATCAAACTCGACATGAATCATCCTGCACGTACATAATATATGTATAGATGAAGGCATTAGGATCGTGTCGAGCAAACAATCTCAACGACTCAGACTTCGAAGTGAAATCGTGTATCGTACATTGCGTAAACGTAATGGTGAAATGGCGAGTCTGAACGTCAATTTCGAGAATTCGTTGAGTCAACAGATATGGCCGACTCCCCATTGACATTGATACTTCATCATCGCGACTCACCCTGGGTACGGTGGAAACATGTTATGCATGTTGTTCGGCGGATATTGCCACGCCATATTCGCCATTGAACCCGCTCCGATCTGCGACTGCTGCTGCTGCTGTTGTTGCTGCTGATGGAACGGTGGTTGTTGTTGCTGCTTTTTCTGCGACAGTGCTTCGCCTTCTGACATACCGTGGAATATAAAAAATATCAGAAGAGCACGGAGATGGCCGCCTCCCCCTCCCTACTCGTGGTGCGTCGCGGGTCGCAATTTTTCGCGTCGTCGTCGAGTTACCGCGAGTAGAGCCGCGGGCGTGCGTATGCTGCGATATAAAACGGAAAGAAAGAAGAGAAAAAAGAAACCAATAGGGATTCACTTGAACAATCCGTGAATTCTGTATTTCCTCGTATTTATTCCATGTACTTCGACTCGAAATGCTTCTACGCACAACGCGCGACGTGACACTCGGAATCGCGTGAACACGGAGTGGAGCACGAAGGAAAATGGCCGGAACAAGATGAAATGGAACTCGGTTGATAATGGTTGAGCCTGGTAGAGTCACTAGTACCGCAATAGGCTAGAGTCCTATATTTATAAGAGAAGCGCGACTGTGTTAAGTGTTATGATTGGTCATTGCAATCACGTAATTATTGAAATGGAATTTCGATTTAAAAAATAAAAATAACATTGAATTTAATCTATCATGTTGTATGAAAATTGAAATGACGGAGATAATTTCTCGTTGTATGTAAAGTTATTAATTATAAGTTAGTATAATTTCTACATTAATTTCTAAATAAGAAACATGTGTCATTTAATTGTCATGTTTCTTATCTAGAAATTCATTAAACAAAAATGCAGTAATTCAATAAAATAAATAAATAAATGTATTAATTTAATAGAAACATGATATACGAAAGACTTGAATATGACTCGACCATTTTGTCAAATAATAATTGTTAATTTTAAAAAATCTCTTATTTTTTAAATCGTAATAATGCAATATACATATAAAAGATGATTATAGAGAAGAAATTAAAATAGGTAATTAAGAATGCGACAGATTTGTAACTTCTAACAATGATATATTTTGGAACATATTGTCAATGGGGGATATAGACATTATAACAGATAAACTATATTTCGAAATATAAGATTCCGATGTTAATGTTAGCCAGCGAGTTCGCTATTCCGTTCGGTATAAGTGTGTATGAAGATGAAGAAAGATGAACATGACAAACGAATCTGGATACGAAACACAATGACCAGATTTGGAATTGCGAACGCTCGCTGAAAGAAATTAGTTGAATATTCAGTAAATCTGTAGGCAAAGTACTTCGCGTGTACAGCTATTTTTTATATTGTATAACTTATTGACTAGGAACGAGCTAAATCTGGGAAATCGCACAAATGAACAGTTTCGAAAAGATACATTGTTAAACGAATATAAAAAAATTAACAACATTCACAAAAAATTTACTTTTACAACTTGATCAAAATAAAATAAATCTTAATTTAATAAATACAAGGGAATTTTCATCGCGATTCGTGATGTTAACAGAGTATACATTATATTAGGGATTTAACGATCCACTAGTTTTAGAACAACCTGTAGTTTCGATAAATGACTGTAATCTAGACCTGATCGCGCCTCAGATCTTTTTCAGCTCCATTCTTACTTAGTTAACTTACTTATGTAGAATAATTGTGCAGTTCTTAGTAATTCTCCCGACTTTAAGCACAGAGAATGCACGATGAATATGATAATGTCGAGAAAAGAAAACAGTTATTCAACGTTATAATAGTAAAATATTAGCAAATTAAATCTCCTATTTAATTTCAAAAATTAAACATTGTTGATAAGAATTAAAACGTTAAAATTTAAGTTCGATATATATAGAAATGTTTTGTGCTAAAAAACATAAAAATTTATAGCAAGTCATATTCAATTTTAAGTCATAAAACAGAACTTAAATCATCAGCGTCGTTCTATGCTTAAAGTCCAGATCAGATTTAATGCTTATTATATTACTACGATATATTATATCGATCGAGAAAAAAAAAACATTCAGAAAGATGTATAGGCAAAAGTACATTTTTACATGATAAACGTTCGTATGACGACGGTAACGAATTCATCGAGAAACGATGGTTCTTTTCTTTCAAATATTTTAGGTCCTTGCAATCGAGAATGATAACGAATACTTTAATCGTAGGTATTACGTAAAAGATCTTGACTTAATGATTTCGTAGACTAGAAAAATACAATTGGCGTTAAACACGCTGTGATATAATAGAAGAGCGGACCTTTCTTTACATGTTCTCTATGTTACTTTGTAGGCACTTTCTACGAGTAACAGGAGACTCTCGAAATGCAATGCAAATCAAAATGTTTCCTCGACATTAAAATTAGTTTTACACCGTCTCCATGTGGCGCAACGTAATCATCCATCTTACATTTAAGAAACTAAAAGATAATTAGGCAAACGTTTGGAAAACGTGCAATTTATTCTCGCGATTGCTATCGAGAATAATACTTTATTTCTTGCTTTATACTTACTGTATGCAGTTCTCTTATCATTATTGTATATATTTGTATATATATTTATATGTAACCTACTCTTTTATTATTTCTTTCTAGTTGTTCGTTCATTATGAATTTATTGCTTTAAATATAATTGTGAACCGATGTAAGATAGTCACATAATAATATACAGTGTTAAATTTATATTGCTATCGCTAGTGATTGGAAAGAGATAATTGATATATTTATTAAAGACACTATAGATCTGTCGAGCTGTCGAAACATGGCACTCATATATCCATTATGTATCAAATAAGCTTTCTGCACATACGACATTCTCTCACAATCAGAAATATCTATATTCTATATAGATAAATTTTCACAAATCGTACATTAAATGATTTGTAAAACATAGCTGTCGCATCTATCAAGGAAGTACAGCTAACAGTTACGAATGTTTTAACGACTGTAGCTCGATACTAATTCTCCGTCTACAATCTGAGTCTTTTTTGGCACAAGCAAAATTTCATTCTCAAATTTTACTTTCATTTTTGCTCAAAATTTTAATTTTTATTAATTAAAGGTTTTAATATTTGAGTTAAAAATTATTTGGTAATGTAATTAAGATATAGAACAGTAATTTGAATGCCTTGAATTTTTTTTGAAAGTAGAGAACAGTAAAAAAATTTAGATTATATAAAAAAGACCCAGTTTGCAAATGCAGGATTAATGGTACCCATGCTTAATTTGTAGAACTTATTGCCCCCATCGATAATATTGTATCGATAAACAAACTATTTCAATATCCGACGTTATTTTTGAATGAGTCGTCTAATTATAGATTATAATTTATTGCTGTAGAGCAATTATATATAATATTATTTTGACATTTTGTCGGATGGACGAATCAATATTTTTTTCTTTCAATTCAATTATACTCTTTAAAGCATTTCTTTAAGATGGCAAATTAGAACGTCTGTATTGAAATGCAATAACTCTTGCTTTTTTTATAAATACTCTAAATATACGAATGTATAATACGATTCTTTTCTCATGATGAGAAACGTAAAGTTGATGCCTCCTTTAATTTAGCTACTTCTTGTTCATGGTTTTTAAGGCACCTGTATATATGTATGGTACGCAATACAATGTAAGTATACAAATAATTTGTTACAACTAAGAAAATTATTCGCTATTATTGTAACTTAAAAATCATGAACCCACTTGTGTGTTGATTCCTATATATATAAATTCGAATTATCAGCTTAAGATTTCAGACACACGATACTATAACAAAAGCGCAACTGAGATATTATTTCTAGCTGAAACAGCATTACTAAAATATAATTAAAATGCATTTGTAGAAGTAAATTATATATAATCATATATACTTGAGATTACGTGTTCTTCAAAAAATTCAAAAAGGAATAAATACGTGTAGCAAAAGCAGTTAACATAATTACATCGCAGTTGGGCAATCATTCATAAATATATTACTGCTGCTTCTAGAAACTCGCGAGAATTCTTATACCTACAATGCGTACAATACGATAATAGTATATATACTAGTGAAATTGGCTTTTTGGTAGGATGAATAGAGTATATAGTACCGCTTGGTGATTTTTATATGTAAACGATAAAAATACCTTTTGGATATATTGACTAGTTTCTGTAACTTCCTCTTCCTCGTCCTTTTGTTCTTGCATTTCCCAGCAACTTTTCAGCGCACGATCTAATCCGTACAACGACAACAGAACACAAAAGTGATCCACTTGGTGATTCGTCGGCAATAACGTTATTAAATTTATATTACATCTCATTACGGAGTGGTCGACGTTAAAAACGTAGGGTCTACCGCGGCTACCTTCGCGGTAAGAAACGCATGCATACAGAACAACAAGTTTTGCAACTGGGAACACTCCAATTCCTGTTGAAATGTACGCAAAACGTAAATACACATTCCTCTATGCGTATAAGGAAAGCAAATTGAAAAATTAAATGCAACACTGCTCTCTTTAACCTTTAAGGGACAGAAGTCCTATTTTTACAATCTTACACCTCTTCCTTAAGTAAGATTTTATTATTCATTATTTCATTGTACTTCTTGCCTAAAAATATGACATTTCAGCGTCATAGTAACTTTTTTATAAAGGTTAATCTATTTCCCTCCCCTCCCCCTCTAAATTTGAAAGAGCAATCTCTCAATCGAGAAATTATACTTAATCTTCTTTTAAAAGAAGAATGAATTGGACTACAGTGTTGCAATAAATCTTTCAGTTTCACAAAAATTTGCATTTACCTTCGTTTCGATAGTGATGCTATCCGGCTCTTGGAAGTGCAATTTAAGTCTACTTTTACCGTCGTCACTGGACCCTCTCAATTGAGAAAACTTGTAACGCCACGCGATCTCGCCGATTCCTTCATACGACAACGTAAATCCTTGAGTCCACTCTAACGTTAGACCGGCACTTCTGCTGTTGAAAGTTACCGGGAATGTTTTACTCTGCAACAAGGAAAGAAAGACGTGAGAAGAGAATGATAAACGATAAAAATAATTTGGAGAAATTATCACGAGTGTAATGACGGACCTTCAAATGTGTAACAGCTGAGCATATGGCGGTGTGCCACGCCGCTTCGACTCGTAGAAGTTCTTGCCTGGTCTCAACGCTTAAGTAACGCGGTGGTTTTCCTGGACTCTGCGCCAAGAAGCAATGCTGCCGCTCATCCACATTCTCCGATTCGCGCATCACGCGGAACATTGTCTGGTACACTTTGAAAGTCAACGCGCAGCGAGACCAATCGCCTATATTACACTGGAAACAACAATAAGAACGATTTAATTCAATTCTTCATAATATTAATAAATCGACAGCTTTTTAAAAATTCAAAATTACTTTAAAATAAAAGGAACTAACACATACAGGAGGTGTCTCGAACAGCAATAGATCTGGTCCTTTTAGAGCCAAGAATCTCGGTCTATAACTCTGCCACGGTTGATTACTATTACTCACTGCTTCGTTCACCCAGCCCATATACTCTATGCGTTCGCCAACTCCGAAA